AGCCCGCGCGACGTCACGCGGGAGTTCCCGCGACGTCACGTCCCTTCCTCCCGCCGCAGAGCGAGGCGGCGCCCCTCCCTCCCTGAGAAGAGGAGAGGGGTCGGCCGCGCGTCCCACCCCGAGGGACGGTGACTAGAGAGTGAAGCGCCACCTCAGCTGTCGAAGCGGCTCCAGGAGCTGGCGGCCCCCACAGCGTTTTTGAGGTGCCCTAGAGAAGGCTCACGCTGTGGGGAGCTTCAAGTTCTACTGAGAAGTTGTCAGTCTGTCTGACTTAAGCCCATTTCTGCAAAAGCACGTACGAGTGGCCTGTACCAGATGGAACGTTAAAATTCACTGAGGAGGGGATGGACACGGCTGAGTCTAACGTAGCTTAGGCCTCGTAGCTGTTAACCTAGTTTAGTGATGTGACCTGACAGGACTAGGTCGCGAGGCCTTGTACAAAACGATGTATACTTTGCTCAGGTTAGAAAAAGTTTCCGACGAACCTGAAATGAGACGGAATCAGAAGTGACGCATTATATGTTGGAACAACATGCTGTTAGGTAAAATTTTTTAAGTCAACGTTTTCTGTAGCTGTTTGTTTATAACATTCAAATTGTTAGTATAGTTTCCTATTTATTTTGGTTTTCTAAAATAAGCAGTTTAGTGTTAGAAATTCTGCAAATGAAGCTGAAGAAAGAGACGAAAATCACGATATCTTTTAAAAAAGGTTGGAACTTTTCTGTAATACAGGATAATATTATAAACTTTAAAACGTTGAGTTGTATTTAGGCAATCATAGATATCAAGTGTGAAGGTAATTTTCCCATTTATCCTTGATCTTAAAGGATGAATATCACAGCTTACTTACTCCTTGCAATTGGGCAAAGCAGGATGTTTCTCTACGATCCCTAGCAATGCTGTGGGAACCTTGGTATCTTTAAAGAGGGCTGCTGAACATTCATTACCCTGTTAAAGTAACTATCATTCACTTCCAAGTTTTATCTTGTTTTAATAGTCTTTTCAGTTAGATCCACTATATACCTTCCCACTTGACACTTATTACAGTTTAAATTATTTATTTAATTAATTCTGTCTCCCTACTAGACTCAAGTTTCTTGAGGTCACCTTTTTATCACCAGACACTAGCCCAGTGCTTGCCAGTCTCTGTGGATAAATGAATGAATTGGGCATCCCTTGAGGGATTCCTTTTTTTTTTTTAAATAAAGGAGAATAGTTTTGAATCCATTCAAAATCCTTAGATTCTCTTTTTGGAATTTTATGATAGTCACTTTAACAGTGGAAGCAATGGGCATCGGTTTAGATATTTGCCTCCAGTAAGGAGGCTTAAGACCCACATAGTGGAATAAATTACGAAGTCCTGAAGATCTATGAGAAAACTTCATTAATAGAGAAGCAGATATTTTGAATTCTTTGTAATACAAGGTTTCTCAAATTTTATGGCTTAGAACAGTGCTTTCCAAACTTTTTCAGTACTTGGAAAATGAATACTTGATTACATATTGTGATAAAAAGATGAGAATGTTTTTATCCAAAGGATACAGAAATTAGGATTCCAGCCACCTCAGGCCCAGCACTGCCACCTTGAGGGCTGGGATTTTAATGTCCTAGCATACATATTGGAGGCCCCTGGTTAGGATGCTTGATTTAAAAATTGTGTAGTGAAATGGTTAACCTGGTAACTTTTATATATGTACTTTTAACCACAATAAGAAAAATTGTGCGGTAGCACTAAAAAACTCTAGGATTCTTAGAACTGTAGAATTTTGGAACTGTGTAGATTTTGAATCATCCAACACAAGCATTTTACAACAGAAGCTCTTTGTTGATTCTGCATTCTTCTCCTACAGCTGGGTAACTGAGGGTTGTGAAGGAAAAAATTACATAACATGTTAGACCGATATCACTAAAATTACATGGTTTCAGATCTCATGTCGGGCATCAATTAAACCCTAAAATCACCTTTGTTCAGCTCCTTCTGTTGCCTCTGCTGTCTTCTAAACCTTCACTGTTTTCCTCAAACCTCTGTGCAGTATTCTCAGTCTCAGCAGACACCCTAACCTCTTGGTTAAACAATTGGACTCAACAGGTGTGATCTTCCTGACCTTCCCTTTTCCCTTCTCAACGCTGTGAATTAGGCAATACCATTTTGCAGAGAAAAATGCAACCCAAGTCCAATTTCTTCTCACCAGCTCTTCTGTATCTACCCTGGGGCAAGCCACCATCATCTCAAACCTCTTCTGCAGTAATAGCCTCCTTTTTTTTTAAATCAGAAATTTAAAGCAGAAATATCTTTCTGCTTCCGCTGCTTTTCCCCTTTACAGTGTATTCTCCAGCAGTGAGAATGATCCTTTAAAAGTTAAATCAGAATATAACACCCCCCTGCTCAAGACATTCCAGGGTCTTCCCATCACTTTAGAATAATATCAACCCCCTTTCCATGAAGTCAGGACTGGTCAATCACTGTATACTACTGATGTCACCTCCTAAAAGCAGTTCTTAACTAGTGCTTTCCTTTCCATCCTCACTAGTATTGCCCTAGTTTAGGCCCTGATATTTTTTACCTGGACTAGAGCCTCCTTGCTTCCAGTCTTGCACCTTAATGCAGTTTCCACACAGCTGCCAGAGAGCTCAACCTTAGTTTCTGATCTTGGCATTCCCTTGCTTAAAACCCTTCAGTGGCTCTCCATTGCAAAAAGACTAAAATCCAATCCCTTTAAAAATGCCACAGAAGCCCTTCTTAACCTTGCACCTCTGCCTGTCGCCTCACCCTTTCCCTCTAAAACAGGGGACTGCTTATAGTCCTTCTTCCTGTTCTTTGCTGCTTCTTTGTCTTGGCTCATACAATCCTCTTCTCTTGAAATTAGCTCCACCCAGATCCTATATAATTCACTTTTCTACTTATCCTTTAAGACTTAGCTCAGGTAGTACAGTTTCTAGGAGGAGACAACCTTAATGTCTTTCTTCACTCCTCCTTCCTATCCCTTTCCATTAATAGTACTCTCTTCATTTTCCCATGTGTATCTTCGTCACTACATTTAATACCATTATATTGTAATTGTTTTTGTATCTTTTATCTTACCCAACTAAGCTATGGGGGATTCCTTGATAGTAGAGACTGTGCCTTCTTATTCTTAGGTCTTGCCAGAGAGCCTTAGCACAGCACTATCCAACAGAACCACACATATAATTTTAAATTTTCTAGTAGCCACATTAAAAAAAAGTAAAAACAAAGAGGTGAAATTAACTTAATATATTTTATTTAACCTAATTTATCTAAAATATAATCATTTCAACATGTAATCCGTATATAAATTTATTAATGAGACTTTTTACATTATTTTTCTTCATACTGAGTCTTCAAAAATATGATGTGTATTTTACCTTTACAGGATATCTCAGTTTAGATTAGCCACATTTCAAGTGCTCAAAGCCACATGTGGCTCATGGCAACCATACTGGAGAGCACAGGCCTAGCATATGTAGTGAACAAATGAGTTTACATGATTTACCTGAAGAACTAGGATGGAGCTGGACTACCATGCTGATATCTGATTCTTAGTCTAAGGCTACTTCTGCTGCTTTTGCTGGTCATTTCCCATCTCTCTCCCACTCTGCACATCACACCATTTCCCTCCCCTCCTCGCGTTGACACCTGTATCCCCAGGCAAAAAATTTAGTGATTAAACCCATTATGATTATTTACATAATAATGTCCGGGACTTCTAATATGAACACACAATACTAGTAAACTGGGGTGAGCTGTATACTACAGTCAGAACCATTTTAAGAATGGAACAAAAGAGATAATAAGATAAAAAAATAAAATAAAGATAATAAGAGCAATAAAAGGGAAGAAAAGCTTTAACATGAAAGAATATTAACTGTCAAAATTTGTATCAACCTAAATGAACACTTGATTTAATTTTTAAAAAGTTGTTTACAGTAATTACTAAGTGTTGTTTGGGAGTAGGGGTATATACTTCAATTAGTGATCTTGCCCCAAGTGCCAGAATGTTTTGTTTATGATTTGAGTTAATGGTGCCAAGATTCCAGTTAGGTTGAGCAGTTTTATAATTGCTTTTTATAAAAGATACCGTTAACATTCATGGAGGATGTCAGTATCACAGTTTTTATTTTGACAGTCTTAGGTGGTCATTTAAGTGCTGATAACAGACATTAAAGATTATATTATACATTGTTTTCCAGTTAGAAAAATTAGCCTCTTGTAGTCTAGCCAACTTCCAACTTAGATAAAGAAGCTTTATTTATTTTGATTATCACTATGGCTACATATACCTTCTTCATTTCCCTTTATAAACTATTAAATTAGTTTATGTTTTAAAATACTTAGCTACTTCAGTTCACATCGGCAAAGGGCAGAGTTTTACTAGATGTATAATTTGTCCAATTTAAGAACCATTTCCTCATACCTGATACAGTATACTGTCTGCTTGCCTGTATGCGTAGATTTGAATGATGGTAGGCTGATTAAGAATGTTAATGATCTGTTATTGCAAAATGATTTATTGTCAGTGGAAAGGGGCATCTTTTTCTTCAAGGTCATCCTTTTATATACAGTGGCTGCTTGGGCAGTATTTCATACCTATGCTTATAGGTTTATGAAGCCCAGGGATTTTGTTAGATAGCACTTAGGCTCTTTCTCTAACACTGGCATTTATAAGAAGCACAGAGCTTAACTGCTATAGAGATGATAAAAGAATTTAAGAGTGATCACCAAGAGTGTAGAGTAGAAAAGTGGATTTTATTTTGGGAATCTTGAGAAATGAATCTTTATCTTTTTATCCAGTAAATATAGCTCTATACAGCATTGTCTTGTTTACATATGTATAATGCTACCATGATGGAAGCTGTGGGAACAACATTTATTTACAGTAATGTAAATGGTAAATGTTATGAAGAGTTAACTGTAGGAACAAGTCACTGACACTTGGAGTCTATTAATAAAAGCATTTCTTGATAGGGTCACAGAACAAACAAGTTTAATATTCATTGCTTTGTCCACTTAAAAAAAATAATGATTCACATCTTAAATGGTAATTTTTCCATCTATGAATTGATGAGTTTATTCACTGCTGGCAAATAGTTGTGATCTTTAATGTACTCATGCTTCTCAAATTACAGATATGTCTTCAGATATACTGGCTGACTTTTTTCTCCCAATTTTTCCCCATTCTAACTATTTTTGAGAAAAATAGACTTTGTTTAAAATATTGGCTTTTTGCATTTCCTAATCCATGTGTTAGTCTAAGGTTAAGGAAGCTTTGATAGTTACCTTTCCAAAAATATTTTATGTTCAGAATTCAGTTCTTAAAGGAGAACTTCATTTTTAGCCAATACTTTTTAATTTTACTTAAGTTATAATCAGAAGTATTAAAAATGAATAAAGAAATTAAATTATGTTTTAATTCACTTCTCACCCTTTGGGGCAATTTGTTTTTGTGGATTATTTAGGTTAGATAGA